GAATTCAAAGTAAATTGCTGTAAATTTTGCGTTCAAGTTTGATTGGGATTCATTATTCATTAAAGTAAATAAAGGGAGGCATTTCAAAGGGTCCTTTGCTACGCAGATATCAACACTTTACTAACACATGGGGTCAGCCGGCATTGGAATGTTGGCAGGCGAGGCTAAACAGTCCAGCGTAGCCTGCTTCACATCGTCACTCAATTCTACCGTTTAAAAGTGTAAAAGCGCCTTGGTACACGGCGTGCAATAACATTAGGTACCTCGCACACTTCCTGCAGGAGAACTTACCTCTTGTGGAGTTTCACGATGTCCTGTGTCAATTATCCGGGCTAGCATTGCCAAGCCCTCAATTTTCCAGAAATGAGTCACGGCCTATAAAGTGGCTGTGGAGAAATCAGGTCCAACTAATAAGTCTGTTTGCTTTAACTTAGCAGGTAGTTACTTAGGTCAATAAAACCTTGGATATTAACTTCCTAGCCCTTCCGTATTTGCATAAAATAAACTAACATCCTAGTTTTTATCCTCTTTTAGTCTTTACTGTCAATAATTCACGGAAAACTAGCATTAAAGTCGGGGAAGTATCGAATGGAGATTGCCAGTTTGTTGAATAATCACGATAGAGAGAGCATCCTAACAACACATTGAATTTTGGCAACTACTCTACTCTATTCTGCACAATAAAAGTAGACTAGAAGTTTAAAAAGTCCATCTTTCAAATGGAAACCTATTTATTTTATTACAGATTACTAACATCTTGATTGTACTAAGGTGACGTCAGTCTCCATCGTTTCTTCATAATTAGACCTTTGTAGTGTGTCCACAGGGTCCAGCTCATGAGATCTATGCTACTAATTTTACATTCCTCTTTATTATATGTCCAAACTGGGCCTTTTTACTGTTTTTAGAGATAATATTAAATGCTACAATAAGGATAGCACTAAACCTTCCTACGAATGAATCAAGAAAGCTTTTGCCAATTGGTCCCAAAATTACTTCCACCGAAGTGACTAACAATGGAGTGGGACTTGAATTTAACGATGATCCTACATTCCCAGATGTTATAAAGATGTTTAGGCAGTATTTAATTGGTAAAGAACAGCATGGTAGCCATAAATTGACATCAAAAATTTGAGTCCTCAAGTCTAAAGTGATGCAAAACAAATGAACGCCGTTGTAGTACACGGGGTGTCCGGAAAGTGTTTTATCGAGGGTACTTTTGGCCTTGACAAAAAGTTGAGCTAGAGTTAAAAACAGGCCTCTGTCCTGTCTTGCTGGCCACCACACATACCGGAATAACGGCTACGACCACGTGAACCCTCCCATTCATATCATCTCACCTTAATGCTGATGGCGTTAGTTTGTGGTTACGGTTGTCATCTTTCCATGCATGACTAATACTGAATTAATAACACATTCGAATAAATCGAGCCCACCTATAAAAGAAGTGACTTCAAACGCAAAGGATCAACTATTTTACAAATGAATCGGTTTACTTAACCACAATTTCTTATGCCATTCGGAACTTCACAATTGGAAGCCTAAAAAGTCGAACTCAATGCATCAAACAGCGGGTTTTATTGGGTTTTAGGCGGCTTGGCCGCCCTTCGTATGCAAGCAGTAGCGTAACTATCACACTAAGATAAAAATTTAAGACTAAAAACGCTTAAAAGCAAACATAGATATGGAGAGGCGGGATACGTTGATAGTGAACATTGGGTAAAACGTCTGGGTGGCTAAAAATTTTGTAGACTAAAATAGAAGCATTAAGCATTGTCTCCTCCTGTCTCTCCACCTCCACCTCTTCCTTCTCCGAGCTCCTCCTCCGACGCATTGTAAATCTTCTTGCGGCAGGGATCGCACAAGGACGCGCAAAGTTGATTCGTAAAGCCTACACAGTGTGCGTCTTTATCTCGGATAAACAGAGCCATGGTGAAGGCTGAAAGCAAAACAGATGATACAGGAAACGTTCCAGTACTTCAGGCGAGAAACTCGAATGGCAATGCACCGCCAGTTTTAGGAGCCGAAGGCTTTGTAGTTTTTTCCCACCAGTTCTTTTATCCACAGTAAAGATGTACCAGCCTGCTTTCCAAAAGACCTGATCCATTTAACCAGCGCTCTTTGGGTCCCCTTTATCAATAAGCCTTTTCTTCGTGACACCATAATTCGCCAGTTTGGGAATGCAAAGCAATGACAGTTTAGGCCAGACATGTGATTTGGTCTAGTATTTTTGGGCTACTTCACTCCCTGCGCATGTGAGTCATCGCCTTTTTGATATACACACTTCAAATGTTCTTTTCCCCGTGTTAATATCTCCTCTCCTATCTAAATACGTTGCACAAGCAAGGAGAGCCATACAGTATCAACGGCAAGCTCTAGACCAACCCCGCAGTGGTACATGAGGCCAGCATTTTCCTCAAGTGTCGATCTTGTACAACTTGGCAATTTTGAACCGACGATTTAGCAAAGGTGCCACGTTCAAAACTAAATAAAACAAATGTATTGATGTTAACTTTATGATCTTCAAATGCCTACACCTCTATGCCCGCGAATGTATTCACCAAGTAGAATAATCGCTTAGCCAAAAATATGCCATCGGCCATCCCTCCACTAATTGCTATTCTGCACATCTTGGCTAGTCATCCTGGTAGAGCCAATGACATGCCGGAAACTTGCCATAAACTAGAATCGGTGAAACTGCTCTGGCAAGTTATTTCGGGAATGGAAGCCAACTTACAGAGGAGGCAGGCACAGGCACAAGCCGTGTAGACTGCGATCCATTTGCCCAGAATGTCGAATTGGGAGATAACACCCGCGGTGATAAGAGAGCTGGGGCACTAAAAATAGAGCAAAGAGATTCGCATGCTGAGGGCTATTACTCATTAACAATGCAAAGTGACTAAGAGGGTGAGGTTTGCGGTGATTGGCTTTTCTGGGTAGAACTAGGTGAAACAGAAGTGTTTGTTGAGCTACTGCCCTGACTTCCTGTTATCTTTAAAGCTGTTAGGCTAAACTTACTTCACTGAATCCAATTCTCTTCCAGTATTTACAAATGTTTTATGCTAAATTGAATTAGCCCAAGATGGAATTACAGGCATGAAGCAGATACCAAAGAAGGAGGAACTCATAAAGCTTCAAACAACGCAGTAATTATGAACCACTTTCTAATTAATGATTTAGAAATCACTTTTAAATAAACTTCACCTTTTCCTATTTAAATTTACATACAACCCGAAATTCTCCCTTTATTCATGTGTGTCCTAAAACAAGTCCGGTCTCAGATCCTGAACAGGAGGTGGCGCACTGACCGTTTCAGCATTGTTAGGGCTACTGTCTCTGGAAGTTTTTGGGCAGTCATGGCCTCCCAATTTCTCTGCATATTACAAGTTAACCGGTGGTCCTCTTCAGAAACGAGCGTGTAGGATGAACAAAGTAATGAAGTGCAGAAGTAAGGTACACGTGAAAATTACCGTTTGCCTTCAGCGTTTGACAGTTTTCTATGCAGTATTTGAAACAATCTGCAGATTCCGTATGGAATATATTCTTTTTGGAAAAGAAGAGATGTTAAACAAAACCACCGTGTCGATTACTTTGTAGGAAACGCTAAGTCTAAGGTCTTACACCGACCCAAATGTTTTACTTCTTTGGATATTTTTAGCATCAAATATTACGATAAAGTAGGCAAATAAAGTACTGACCAATTTTTAGAATCCACCAACACAGATTGCCATGACATTAAAATAAACACACCCAAGCCAGTTCTTTATAAAAAATAAAAAGTTATTATATGCTTTGATTAAGTTTACAACATTTTGACGAAGTCCCTTACCAAGATAGTAATTAATGAAGGCACGAAATAAATGACAGCGTTGTTATGCGGGGACGGCAGAGAACCTAAGCCAAGTTTTGAAAGTAGACAAATCTGCGATTAGAGTGACCAAATTAACTTTATAAGACAGCATGGGATGGTTCCTCAAAAGGGCGTATAAAAAGGTAACACAACTTAAATTCCATTGTCAAAAATATGGCAACCAATAAATATAAGGGAACATTTTCTTTTTATAATAACCAAGTAACCATTCTTAGGGCTAATGAATAAAGCGAGAATATCCACCGTACATTAGGAAATTTGCAAGACAGCTTAGATAGGATTTATGCCGGGTCAAGGATATAAATCAATGTCATCGTTGAGGGCCAAGAGGTGTAGCAGGGACACTGGCACATAAACGTGACTCGCCCACTCCTCTGATTAATTGAATAAGTTGAAAAAGGATGTAAGACAACTTTGAAAGGCAAAATGAACTTCTCAATCTTTAATGGGAAGGTGAAATTCCAAGTTCAGTTGTAACAAATCTGGCCAAAAAACGAAGTAACATTTATGGGGCTTAGTAAGATCCGTTGGCGAGGAAGCATTAATACTAGTTAAGAAGATCAAAAGACCATTCTTTCCTTGTTTTGCAGGCCAAATTAACGTCAATACGTCAAAACAATAAAATAGGAAGCAAAAGCAAATGTTTACGAATGATAAACACTTGAAAAAGTTCATGCATATTAAAAAACCCAGCACTGAGGGTGATTAATTGTTACCGGAGTTCGAGAATCATGAACACATGAAAACGGGTTATTTTACTGTTGTTTTTATCCGCCTCGTAGTTTTCAGGTCTCCAGCATAAATCCCAAAACTGCTTTAGTCAGAACACTTAAGTGGGCGGCAGTAGGGAGAAAGACATGGCAACCAGGAAGTATACGTACAACCCGAACTAATATAATTTGTACTCTTTTTACCCAATGTCTGATCGAAATTTTACATCATAAAAACCCTAAATGCCTAGCTGTGTAATGTACCTGTCTTTTAGATCTATTTGCAAAACACGATTTTTGTGCAACTGCAACTGTTATAAGTAGAAAAGGGACGTCACATACTTGCAGCGCCGAGACCGGACAAATCGGAACATGTTAGCACTTGAAAATCCATTACAAGTAAGTGTACGTAAGTCTCACCGATGCAAAGTAGATGAGCCCATAGATTGTGGCCATGTTGGCAGGACCGAAGACGCGAGTGCAAGTAGATGGAATAACCACAAAATGCGCGGAGAGAGAGAAGAAAAGGCCAAACACCCAAATGGCGTAGAGGGCCCTACCAGCAGCTCCCGCGGCCACGTAGGGAAAGGTCACAAATAGGCTTCCCCACATCACCAAGAAGCACATAAGCGGACACTGGCGGAAAAGAAATTAAAAATACTTAGAAATGGTGCGGTTTAATATGGGATTCTTTCCTTAGCGTCCTTTCGGTAGCCGTTCGGTAGGATATGGTCAGCAATGCTAAACCCTTCACTGAAAAATCCGACCTCGTCAAAACCCCCATTGCCTTGTAAGAAGGGGTGGAACTGTGCTACCGGTAGCTCTAACGCGATAGGGTATCACATGGTTGTTCAGATCCTAGCCTTCAATCTTTCTGTCCCACGGTGAAGTTATCTGATTTTTGCCTACAACTGGGGTACAAATTCACCAATTTCTCATTGATACAGTTTGCTGAGAAATATATCATTTCTGGGCAAATACTCATCGCATTCATGCCGAAACATCTCGTGTGCGGCTGATTCCATCCTCCCGTTTCTTTTGACTTTCAGATGCGACTTGAGCCACATCTCGGCAGGACATATCAAGAAATTTCAAACGGATTATCATGCTGCTTTTGTTTTTTAGTGAAGACAATTCAGCTGTGTAAGCTTTGATCATTTTGCCTCCATTCAGTGGAGTTATTCTTTCATTTACAAAAAAAATTAACCACTACATTGAGGACTTCTCAGAAGGTCAAATATTCCACGGTACGTAAGTGTTTGTGGGGCAACGCAGTCCAATAAATAGCCATATTACTACATCAAGTATTGTAAGCGACTACTTTTGTGAAGAATTCAAAGTAAATTGCTGTAAATTTTGCGTTCAAGTTTGATTGGGATTCATTATTCATTAAAGTAAATAAAGGGAGGCATTTCAAAGGGTCCTTTGCTACGCAGATATCAACACTTTACTAACACATGGGGTCAGCCGGCATTGGAATGTTGGCAGGCGAGGCTAAACAGTCCAGCGTAGCCTGCTTCACATCGTCACTCAATTCTACCGTTTAAAAGTGTAAAAGCGCCTTGGTACACGGCGTGCAATAACATTAGGTACCTCGCACACTTCCTGCAGGAGAACTTACCTCTTGTGGAGTTTCACGATGTCCTGTGTCAATTATCCGGGCTAGCATTGCCAAGCCCTCAATTTTCCAGAAATGAGTCACGGCCTATAAAGTGGCTGTGGAGAAATCAGGTCCAACTAATAAGTCTGTTTGCTTTAACTTAGCAGGTAGTTACTTAGGTCAATAAAACCTTGGATATTAACTTCCTAGCCCTTCCGTATTTGCATAAAATAAACTAACATCCTAGTTTTTATCCTCTTTTAGTCTTTACTGTCAATAATTCACGGAAAACTAGCATTAAAGTCGGGGAAGTATCGAATGGAGATTGCCAGTTTGTTGAATAATCACGATAGAGAGAGCATCCTAACAACACATTGAATTTTGGCAACTACTCTACTCTATTCTGCACAATAAAAGTAGACTAGAAGTTTAAAAAGTCCATCTTTCAAATGGAAACCTATTTATTTTATTACAGATTACTAACATCTTGATTGTACTAAGGTGACGTCAGTCTCCATCGTTTCTTCATAATTAGACCTTTGTAGTGTGTCCACAGGGTCCAGCTCATGAGATCTATGCTACTAATTTTACATTCCTCTTTATTATATGTCCAAACTGGGCCTTTTTACTGTTTTTAGAGATAATATTAAATGCTACAATAAGGATAGCACTAAACCTTCCTACGAATGAATCAAGAAAGCTTTTGCCAATTGGTCCCAAAATTACTTCCACCGAAGTGACTAACAATGGAGTGGGACTTGAATTTAACGATGATCCTACATTCCCAGATGTTATAAAGATGTTTAGGCAGTATTTAATTGGTAAAGAACAGCATGGTAGCCATAAATTGACATCAAAAATTTGAGTCCTCAAGTCTAAAGTGATGCAAAACAAATGAACGCCGTTGTAGTACACGGGGTGTCCGGAAAGTGTTTTATCGAGGGTACTTTTGGCCTTGACAAAAAGTTGAGCTAGAGTTAAAAACAGGCCTCTGTCCTGTCTTGCTGGCCACCACACATACCGGAATAACGGCTACGACCACGTGAACCCTCCCATTCATATCATCTCACCTTAATGCTGATGGCGTTAGTTTGTGGTTACGGTTGTCATCTTTCCATGCATGACTAATACTGAATTAATAACACATTCGAATAAATCGAGCCCACCTATAAAAGAAGTGACTTCAAACGCAAAGGATCAACTATTTTACAAATGAATCGGTTTACTTAACCACAATTTCTTATGCCATTCGGAACTTCACAATTGGAAGCCTAAAAAGTCGAACTCAATGCATCAAACAGCGGGTTTTATTGGGTTTTAGGCGGCTTGGCCGCCCTTCGTATGCAAGCAGTAGCGTAACTATCACACTAAGATAAAAATTTAAGACTAAAAACGCTTAAAAGCAAACATAGATATGGAGAGGCGGGATACGTTGATAGTGAACATTGGGTAAAACGTCTGGGTGGCTAAAAATTTTGTAGACTAAAATAGAAGCATTAAGCATTGTCTCCTCCTGTCTCTCCACCTCCACCTCTTCCTTCTCCGAGCTCCTCCTCCGACGCATTGTAAATCTTCTTGCGGCAGGGATCGCACAAGGACGCGCAAAGTTGATTCGTAAAGCCTACACAGTGTGCGTCTTTATCTCGGATAAACAGAGCCATGGTGAAGGCTGAAAGCAAAACAGATGATACAGGAAACGTTCCAGTACTTCAGGCGAGAAACTCGAATGGCAATGCACCGCCAGTTTTAGGAGCCGAAGGCTTTGTAGTTTTTTCCCACCAGTTCTTTTATCCACAGTAAAGATGTACCAGCCTGCTTTCCAAAAGACCTGATCCATTTAACCAGCGCTCTTTGGGTCCCCTTTATCAATAAGCCTTTTCTTCGTGACACCATAATTCGCCAGTTTGGGAATGCAAAGCAATGACAGTTTAGGCCAGACATGTGATTTGGTCTAGTATTTTTGGGCTACTTCACTCCCTGCGCATGTGAGTCATCGCCTTTTTGATATACACACTTCAAATGTTCTTTTCCCCGTGTTAATATCTCCTCTCCTATCTAAATACGTTGCACAAGCAAGGAGAGCCATACAGTATCAACGGCAAGCTCTAGACCAACCCCGCAGTGGTACATGAGGCCAGCATTTTCCTCAAGTGTCGATCTTGTACAACTTGGCAATTTTGAACCGACGATTTAGCAAAGGTGCCACGTTCAAAACTAAATAAAACAAATGTATTGATGTTAACTTTATGATCTTCAAATGCCTACACCTCTATGCCCGCGAATGTATTCACCAAGTAGAATAATCGCTTAGCCAAAAATATGCCATCGGCCATCCCTCCACTAATTGCTATTCTGCACATCTTGGCTAGTCATCCTGGTAGAGCCAATGACATGCCGGAAACTTGCCATAAACTAGAATCGGTGAAACTGCTCTGGCAAGTTATTTCGGGAATGGAAGCCAACTTACAGAGGAGGCAGGCACAGGCACAAGCCGTGTAGACTGCGATCCATTTGCCCAGAATGTCGAATTGGGAGATAACACCCGCGGTGATAAGAGAGCTGGGGCACTAAAAATAGAGCAAAGAGATTCGCATGCTGAGGGCTATTACTCATTAACAATGCAAAGTGACTAAGAGGGTGAGGTTTGCGGTGATTGGCTTTTCTGGGTAGAACTAGGTGAAACAGAAGTGTTTGTTGAGCTACTGCCCTGACTTCCTGTTATCTTTAAAGCTGTTAGGCTAAACTTACTTCACTGAATCCAATTCTCTTCCAGTATTTACAAATGTTTTATGCTAAATTGAATTAGCCCAAGATGGAATTACAGGCATGAAGCAGATACCAAAGAAGGAGGAACTCATAAAGCTTCAAACAACGCAGTAATTATGAACCACTTTCTAATTAATGATTTAGAAATCACTTTTAAATAAACTTCACCTTTTCCTATTTAAATTTACATACAACCCGAAATTCTCCCTTTATTCATGTGTGTCCTAAAACAAGTCCGGTCTCAGATCCTGAACAGGAGGTGGCGCACTGACCGTTTCAGCATTGTTAGGGCTACTGTCTCTGGAAGTTTTTGGGCAGTCATGGCCTCCCAATTTCTCTGCATATTACAAGTTAACCGGTGGTCCTCTTCAGAAACGAGCGTGTAGGATGAACAAAGTAATGAAGTGCAGAAGTAAGGTACACGTGAAAATTACCGTTTGCCTTCAGCGTTTGACAGTTTTCTATGCAGTATTTGAAACAATCTGCAGATTCCGTATGGAATATATTCTTTTTGGAAAAGAAGAGATGTTAAACAAAACCACCGTGTCGATTACTTTGTAGGAAACGCTAAGTCTAAGGTCTTACACCGACCCAAATGTTTTACTTCTTTGGATATTTTTAGCATCAAATATTACGATAAAGTAGGCAAATAAAGTACTGACCAATTTTTAGAATCCACCAACACAGATTGCCATGACATTAAAATAAACACACCCAAGCCAGTTCTTTATAAAAAATAAAAAGTTATTATATGCTTTGATTAAGTTTACAACATTTTGACGAAGTCCCTTACCAAGATAGTAATTAATGAAGGCACGAAATAAATGACAGCGTTGTTATGCGGGGACGGCAGAGAACCTAAGCCAAGTTTTGAAAGTAGACAAATCTGCGATTAGAGTGACCAAATTAACTTTATAAGACAGCATGGGATGGTTCCTCAAAAGGGCGTATAAAAAGGTAACACAACTTAAATTCCATTGTCAAAAATATGGCAACCAATAAATATAAGGGAACATTTTCTTTTTATAATAACCAAGTAACCATTCTTAGGGCTAATGAATAAAGCGAGAATATCCACCGTACATTAGGAAATTTGCAAGACAGCTTAGATAGGATTTATGCCGGGTCAAGGATATAAATCAATGTCATCGTTGAGGGCCAAGAGGTGTAGCAGGGACACTGGCACATAAACGTGACTCGCCCACTCCTCTGATTAATTGAATAAGTTGAAAAAGGATGTAAGACAACTTTGAAAGGCAAAATGAACTTCTCAATCTTTAATGGGAAGGTGAAATTCCAAGTTCAGTTGTAACAAATCTGGCCAAAAAACGAAGTAACATTTATGGGGCTTAGTAAGATCCGTTGGCGAGGAAGCATTAATACTAGTTAAGAAGATCAAAAGACCATTCTTTCCTTGTTTTGCAGGCCAAATTAACGTCAATACGTCAAAACAATAAAATAGGAAGCAAAAGCAAATGTTTACGAATGATAAACACTTGAAAAAGTTCATGCATATTAAAAAACCCAGCACTGAGGGTGATTAATTGTTACCGGAGTTCGAGAATCATGAACACATGAAAACGGGTTATTTTACTGTTGTTTTTATCCGCCTCGTAGTTTTCAGGTCTCCAGCATAAATCCCAAAACTGCTTTAGTCAGAACACTTAAGTGGGCGGCAGTAGGGAGAAAGACATGGCAACCAGGAAGTATACGTACAACCCGAACTAATATAATTTGTACTCTTTTTACCCAATGTCTGATCGAAATTTTACATCATAAAAACCCTAAATGCCTAGCTGTGTAATGTACCTGTCTTTTAGATCTATTTGCAAAACACGATTTTTGTGCAACTGCAACTGTTATAAGTAGAAAAGGGACGTCACATACTTGCAGCGCCGAGACCGGACAAATCGGAACATGTTAGCACTTGAAAATCCATTACAAGTAAGTGTACGTAAGTCTCACCGATGCAAAGTAGATGAGCCCATAGATTGTGGCCATGTTGGCAGGACCGAAGACGCGAGTGCAAGTAGATGGAATAACCACAAAATGCGCGGAGAGAGAGAAGAAAAGGCCAAACACCCAAATGGCGTAGAGGGCCCTACCAGCAGCTCCCGCGGCCACGTAGGGAAAGGTCACAAATAGGCTTCCCCACATCACCAAGAAGCACATAAGCGGACACTGGCGGAAAAGAAATTAAAAATACTTAGAAATGGTGCGGTTTAATATGGGATTCTTTCCTTAGCGTCCTTTCGGTAGCCGTTCGGTAGGATATGGTCAGCAATGCTAAACCCTTCACTGAAAAATCCGACCTCGTCAAAACCCCCATTGCCTTGTAAGAAGGGGTGGAACTGTGCTACCGGTAGCTCTAACGCGATAGGGTATCACATGGTTGTTCAGATCCTAGCCTTCAATCTTTCTGTCCCACGGTGAAGTTATCTGATTTTTGCCTACAACTGGGGTACAAATTCACCAATTTCTCATTGATACAGTTTGCTGAGAAATATATCATTTCTGGGCAAATACTCATCGCATTCATGCCGAAACATCTCGTGTGCGGCTGATTCCATCCTCCCGTTTCTTTTGACTTTCAGATGCGACTTGAGCCACATCTCGGCAGGACATATCAAGAAATTTCAAACGGATTATCATGCTGCTTTTGTTTTTTAGTGAAGACAATTCAGCTGTGTAAGCTTTGATCATTTTGCCTCCATTCAGTGGAGTTATTCTTTCATTTACAAAAAAAATTAACCACTACATTGAGGACTTCTCAGAAGGTCAAATATTCCACGGTACGTAAGTGTTTGTGGGGCAACGCAGTCCAATAAATAGCCATATTACTACATCAAGTATTGTAAGCGACTACTTTTGTGAAGAAAAAGTTGTGGTGTCAATGGCTACTTTAAATAAAACCTGACTATATCACAATGTCTTTGCAATGTAACGGATTTTAACCTCCTAAGGTCTTTAGATGCAAGTTAGGTAATGACTCGTTTACGGAGAAA